AAAACCACTCAAGACCACCAATACCCAAAGCAATCTTGAAAAAGAAGAATACAGCTAAAGGCATCACACTGCCTGCTATCAAATTATACTACAGAGTTCTAATAATTAAAACAATGGTAATTGCAAAAAAGAAGGAGATACAGACAAATGGAACAGAATCAAAACTTCAGAAATAAACCCATAACTTCCATCCAATATGGAGTTGTAGGTAGACAAATGGTGCCTCCTCGCACAACCAAAACAATGACAACAACAAATTTAAAGCAAAAAACAACCAAAACTGACAGAAAATCAAACTGTATGGAAGTCCAACAACCAAGGAGTTAAAGGACAAACATTCATCCAGACCTGTAGGAGGGGCGCAGATGAGCAGCCTGCTGGAGAGGACGCATGGCAAGGCAGCAGCTCATGGACTACAAGGTCCCACATTTGCGTGCAGATAAACTAGGAGGAAAAACTGGAGAGTGAGACAGACCAAGCAACCCAGGGTTCCAGTACTGGGAAATAAAGCCTCAAAGCCTCTGACTGAAAACACCTGTGGTGGTTGAGGTGGCAGTAAGAGAAACTCCAAACCTCACAGGGCAGTTTGTTGCAGAGACTAACAGGGTCCTGGAACATACACAAACCCACCACCCAGGAATCAGCAACAGCAGATTCCAATTTGATTGTGGGTAGCAGGGGGAGTGACTGAAAACTGGGAGAGAGCAGAGCAAGTAGCACTGCTTCCTCCCAGATCCTCCCCCACATACAGTGTCATAAGGCAGACATGTGGGTTGCCCTGCCCATGAACACTTAAGCCTCCTCCCCTTGCTACCTCGAAGGCCTGTCAAGACAAATGAAATGGCCTAAATGAAAGAACAGATCAAAGCTCCAGAAAAAAATTCAGCTGAGTGATGAAGAGATAGCCAGCTTATCACATGCACAGTTCAAAACACTGGTCATCAGGATGCTCACAGAACTGGTGAAATATAGTCACAAATTAGAGGAAAAAATGAAGGCTATGAAAAGTAAAATAAAGGAAAATGTACAGGGAACTAACATGACAGGAAGGAAACCAGGACTCAAATCAATGGTTTGGAGCAGAAGGAAGAGAAAAACATTCAACCAGAAAAGAATGAAGAAACAAGAATTCAAAACAATGAGGAGAAGCTTAGGAACCTCCAGGACATCTTTAAATGTTCCAACACCTGAGTCATAGGGGTGCCAGAAGTAAAAAGAGCAAGAAATTGAAAACTTATTTCAACAAAGAATGAAGGAGAACTTCCCCAATCTGCCAAAGGAAATAGACTTTCAGGAACTCCAGGAAGCTCAGAAAGTCCCAAAAAAACCCCACGAAGACATATCATACTTACCTTAGCCAAGATTAAAGAGAAGAAGAGAAACTTAAAAGCAGCAAGAGAAAAGGAGATAGTTACTTACAAAGGATCCCATTAGACTTTCAGCTGACTTCTCAAAAGAAACCTTGCAGGCAAGAAGGGGCTGGAAGGAAGTATTCCAAGTCACAAAAGGCAAGGACCTACATCCAAGATTGCTCTATCCAGCAAAGCTTGCATTTAGAATAGAAGAGGAGCTAAACTGCTTCCCAGATAAGGTCAAATTAAAGGAGTTCATCATCACCCAGCCCTTGTTATATGACATGTTAAACGGACTAATCTAAGAGAGAGGAGATCAAAACTATGAACAGTAAAATGACAACAAACTCACAGCTATTAACAATCAAACCTTAAAGAAAATAACTAAGCAAGCAACTAGAACAGGGACAAAATCACAGAAATGGAGATCACATGGAGGGTTATCAGGAGAGGAGTGGGAGGGGGAGAGAGAGAAAAAAGGTACAGAGAATAGCATAGATAGTAGGCAGAAAATAGGAGAAGGTTAAGAACAGTATGGGAAATGTAGAAGCAAAAAAACTGACGGGCACAAACTAAAGGATGCTGGTGGGAGGGGGTGTGCAGGGTGGAGGGAAATAAAGGGGGAAAAATGGGACAACTGTAATAGCACAATCAATAAAATATATTTTGAAAAAAGAAATAAACCCGTTCATTCACTAATATATGCTAGAGTGAAGAAATCAATGCACTCCTAAAATCTGCCATTGACTTCTGCTTTCACCACTTCCATGTACTGTAATGTAGGTGGTGTTAGGTTTCCCACTTTACTGTTTGCATCTGCAGGTCACATCTGCTCTTTGCTCTTCAGGTTTCCTTTCACTGCTCTCTGTGTTTCGGGATAGGTTTTTAGTATTTCATTCTAATCTATCCACTGGAATTCTAACTATGAGTCTTTGTACATTGCTTTTTCAGTGACAGTTGTAAGTATTATAATATACAACCTCATTTCACAGATTCCGCACAGAGGAGGTTATACTTCATCTCTGCAAGGTCAATGCAAAAGCCTCACAACTGTGCAGGTCCTTTTACACCCACTGCCTTGCGCTGCCATTGGAATCTGTGGTCCATCCACACACCTCACACACCACACCAGGTGATGTGCCCATTTCTGCTTTCAACAGCTACATATATATTTTTTAAACTTAAGAGAAGAAAATATGCTATTATATTTACAAAAATATTTGCTTGGATATGTTTGTTCTCCTTTAATTCTTGAATTTCCAAAATCCCTTTAGAATTATCTCCTTTCTGCTTGAAGAACTTCTCTCTTCTAATCAGGTCAGATGCTCAGGTTTCCTTTATTTCACTTTCATTCTGAAGAAAATTTCCAGAAAAATTCCAGGTGAACTTTTCTTGCCCCTCAGGCCTTTAAACTCTTCTGACCATCATGGTTTCTGATGGGAAATCTGCAATCACTCCAACCATGGTTCCTCCATGTGTGATGTGCCATTTCTGTCTGGGTGGATTTGATTTTCCTTGACTAGTTTGACGATGCTCATGATGTGTGTGGGCTTGGTTTTCAAAGATTCATAGCTGAGTTCCCTGGGCAGGTAATCTTATGGCTCTGAAGACGTGTATGACATGGTTGGCTATCTATTTCTTCCAACATGATGTTTCTTCACAGATATCATTCTCATTTCACTCCCAGTTAAGGGATATAAACTGCTTCACAGATCCCTGGGTCTGTCTCTTTTCATTGAAAACCTGGCTGCCCTACACAGGGGCTCTTACCTGATGCTGAAGAGGGAGTTCCCAGTGTGAGAGCAAGAGCTCTGCTCAGGGGAGGAGGGGCCCTGAGGAGGCAGAACTGACCCAGAGGTTTGAAGGGGGCAGTGAAGGAAAGGCTGGTGCTGACTGTACAAACAGGAAGTCAGGGGAGGGAACGGTTTGGGGAAAGAAAATCCCCGGTCCCAGTAGGGTCATACTTTCTTCTGACAATCAGTGACCCTTCTCCACAGCACCTCCTCATGCCACACTCTCCTCAAGAGTGGTCCTACTGGTGACAGACCCACTGGCCCCTCCAGGCACCAAGAAGAAGGCAGAACAGCCTTCCTTTCTCAGTCTCCCACTTCCAAGGTGGTCATCTACTGCACTCCATGATGCCCCACTGAGCCCCTCTGAACCATGTCCCTGATCCATCACAACACTCAAGATGCCTGGTCCTCACATCACCCTCCTTCCTGCACCTCCAATGCAGGCTTCATTACTTTCTCCAGTTCACTCCTCTCCACCTCCTGAGGACTCTTCCTACAAAGGACCTGGTCTGATCCTGTCTGCTCTGCTCCCTCCACCAGTTCCCACCCTCTGAACAGATCCATGTTGCACCATCTGGCATTCAAGGTTGTCAGTGTTCAGGGTGGAGCTAAACCCACCAGCCCCAGGAAACACAACTTACCCTCCAAAACCAAAACCACCAGTTCACCACACTCCCCTCCACCTGAGAGCACACACAGAAACTGAGCTATTTCAAAATCCTGTGGTATCCTCTCCTGTTCCTTCAGCCAATGTGAACCAAGTCACCTCCTTCCCAAGAATGAGGCAGAAACGAAAGCTGTCCTGCCTCATCCATCAACTGTCAGTGCAGTCAGCATTACAGGTTTGTGTGACTCACTTAAAATACTAATCAACACGCCATCCATGGGCCAGGTGCATGTTGGAGTTTTATGACTGATGGAGCTCATTATCAGCAGAGCCTGCTGGCATGACGTTTTCACGTGGGGGTAGCCTTTTTAAAACATAAATCTGTCCACCCCACTGACTTCAAATGCACTCCAGACAATCTGCACAGTGCTCCAGATCCTGTGTGCCTAGAATACAGCCTTCACCTGACTGTGGTCACTCCTGAGAAATGGCCCAGCTCATTCTGGTTAAGGACCTTTCCCTGCCCATGGCCTCTGGACTGATCCCTGCTCATGCCTTGGGTCATCCCATCCCCAAAAAGAACACCTTGTTGCATGATGCCCCCCTGTTATTGAAAGCCTTGTTCTTTCTCCCAACATGGACGGTCTCGCCAGACTGTAACTGATTCATCTGCTGTCCACATATCTACCTCTCTGTCTTCATTCCTCTGAGCCCTATGAGTCCAGGGACAGAGTCCAGTAGCTTCAGCAGTGACTCTCCAGGTCCTGGCATGGTGACTGCACCGGGTGACTGCACAATACATGCTGCCTGAGGGCCTGGCCAGTGGGAAAAAGGAAGAAAAAGGGCACTCACAGGTCTCAGGAGAGGGAAGTGACTGACCCAAGGACACAAAGTTCAAGAAAGTGCAGAGTGAGAATTGGAACAGAAATTGGGCTGCTCCTGAGTTCTGCACAGTGTCCTCTACCCACATGTCCTGGGACAGGGGTCACCCTTGGATTTGGATGTCACATGAAGTGGGGGCAGAGCTTGTGGGGTCTGTTGAGACTCAGATCAGTTGGAAATGTCCAGAGCTTATGTATTCTAAGGTCCATTCTTCAGGGAGGGTCTACTTCCCTTCCCATCAGGCCACTGATGAGGAACCCAGGACCTGTCACACAGAGCTGAGACCGTGTAACACCCCATTAGTTACTCTGTGTTGCAGTGAATTTACACATCGTCTGCACACTGGTGACCATGGCAGGGAGCACAATGACCCGGACCCTCACTGTCCTTCTCTGTCTCGGTGAGCTTTGGGGGAAAGAGGAGGGATGGGACCCTATATGCCCAAGGTTACAGTCCCAGAGACCCCAGAAATAAGGAGTCTCAGTGCGGACACAACCTCTGGGTGAGGAGAAGAGGTGGCTCAGCCCCAGGTCTGATCCCAGCACTCAGGGGTCCAGACCAGGCCTGCAGCTTCCGTGTGTGGGGTCAAGTAAAATCTCACAGGGACTCTCTTCCAGGGCTGTGTTGGGGCTCGTGGGACCAGGTCCAGGCAGGTGAGTCTTCCCCCAAACCTCATGCTTCTGAACAATGGTACCCCTGGGGAGCCAAGAGACACACAATGGTTCTGGGCAGATGGTGACTAGTGTGGCAAAGATCTTGGAGTAACGGCTGGGGGAACTGAGGGGACAAGGATTCTCCTGACACTGCAGACCTGATTCCTTTCCAGGAGTTCCCCCCAAACCCTCCATCTGGGCTGACCCAGGCCCTATCATCAGCAAGGGGAGCCCTGTGACCATCTGGTGCCAGGGGTCTCTGCAGGCGGATGCCTACATTCTATATAAAGAGAGGAGTTCTGAGCCCTCAGATAGGAGCATCCCACCGGCCTCCAGCAACAAGATCGGGTTCCTCATTCAGTCCATGAGCTCACAGCACACAGGGCTGTACCAGTGTGAATACAGCACTGGGGGCAGGCTGTCTGAGAGGAGTGAGCCCCTGCTCCTGGTGCTGACAGGTAAGGGGGAACCCGGGTCTCCTGCCCACTGTGGGCTCCTCCTCAGAGGATGAAGGGGACAGAGTGTGGCTTTAGGGGAGCCTCACGTCTCACAGTCTACTCCTGGGGAAGTTGGGGTATGGTCCCCTTTAACTCAGATCCTCCTTCTCCCTCAGGAGAGCACAGCGCACCCTCCCTCTCAGCACTGCCAGGCCCTGTGGTGACCTCAGGAGGGAGAGTGTTTCTTCTGTGCAGCGCACAGTCCACACTGGACACTATCCACCTGCTGAAAGAGGGAGGAGCTGAACCACCCCAACACAGGAAATCAGAACAGAGATCCTATGAGAGGAGGTGGCAGGCTGTCTTCCCTTTTGGCCCCGTGAAGTCCTCCCATGGGGGGACCTACAGATGCTATGGCTCCTCCAGCTCCACCCCCAATGTGTGGTCACAGCCCAGTGCCCCTCTGCACCTCGAGGTCACAGGTGAGGTGGCCCACAGTTGGATTCAATTCTTACCTGGGCCCCAGATAACTGGTCTAAACCTTGTGCCTGGTAAAGCCCTGGGGGAGGTGGGGGTCACTGACAGGGGTTTACTGGGGACAGAACCACAAGCAGGAGACTTAGGGAGGGACAAGTGAGAGCTCTCCCTGCAGCCCCAGTGGGTGGTGGGTGTGTGTGTCCCCTGGGTGACAATGACATGCTCCCCAGGTGTGTACAGGGAGCCCTTCCTCTCAGCCCAGCCTGGCCCACTGCTTCTGCCTGGAGACAGCCTGACCCTCCAGTGTCACTCAGAGCCCGGCTTTGACAGATTTGCTCTGACCAAGGACGAGGGTTCCACTCCCCTCCAGCATCTCCAGGGGCAGCACAGCCCTAGCTTCCCCCTGGGCCATGTGGACCTCACCCACGGGGGTCGGTACAGGTGCTACAGTGGACACAACATCTCCTATGTGTGGTCAGCCCCAAGTCCCCCGCTGGACATCCTGATTGCAGGTGAGGAGCCCTTCCCTGACCCCTGTACTGACTGCCAGGTCAGGGCTCTGGCCCGGGTCACCATGGTGTTGATGGGGTCCAATTCAGGGTCCTCTGCAAGAGGCAAACAGGACAAATGTCTAAGGGAGGGAGTGAGAAAAGGTACATGGAAAAAATCATGCCCACTCAGAGGGACTGACAGGAGCTGAGAGGGGTCACAGACAGTGTCCCTGGGGAAGGACATGGTCCCTCAGCTGAGGCACAAGTTTATGGGGGGAAGCATGACTCTGCACATCACAGCCCTGCTCTCCCCAGGAAAGGACAGCGAACCCTCCCTCTCGGCCCATCCAGGGCCGTCAGTGTCCTTGGGATCGAACGTGACCCTGCAGTGTCGATCTGAGGTCAAGGCTGACACCTTCCACCTGCACAGGGAGGGGTCCCTGGATCCTCCCCAGAAGCTTCGTCTGCAGAACACGGCTGCCCCCTCTCAGGCCAACTTCACCATCAGCCATGTGACCTGGGGCCACCAGGGGACCTATAGGTGCTACAGCTCACGCAGCTCCTCCCCCTTCCAGCTGTCACAGCCCAGTGACCCCCTGGAGCTGGTGGTCTCAGGTGAGGAGCCCCAGCCCCTCCCCTGTGTCCTCATGGACAGGTCAGCACCCTGCCCCCCAGGCAAACTTTTAGGTGGATACAGAGTGAGGTGGTCTCTGAATGAGGGTCAGCCTGAGGGGACTCTCACCTCCCAGTGGGATTGGAACTCCAGAGCAACCCCACCCCTGCCTCAAATTCATCCCCATCCCTGGGGCCCAGACAGGTTCCAGGGGCCCAGGGAGGCTGGAGAGGCCTCAGGCTGAGCAAACGGAAGAAATGCCAGGGCACCCATCCAATCCCCTTCCTTCTCCCAGAGAATGAGAGGCCAAGTCAAGTGTGGTGTACAGCAGAGGCCTTGCTCCCAGAGAGAACATCACCCTCACTGGCACGCTTGTCTCCCAGGGAGGTTGGGGGTCCGTCAGAGATTCTGGGGGGATCATGGGGCCCCCAAGGCTGTGAGATAATCAGCTGATGGGTGGGGGAGTTCATGGCAGAGGAAGATGCTGTGATTTGACCCAAGAGTGCGGCAGCCAGGCTGAGGTGGGGTGAGGTGGGCTGCAGCTCCCGCTGTGCGGCTGGGTGGCCCCTTCTCTTCTCCAAGTGTCAGGTTCATGTCTGTTCATCTCTGGTCCCCTCCTGCTTACAGGGCTGTGGTGATGTTAGGTGACACAAGGGGCCTCACAGAGCTCAGGAGGACAGAACCCTCAGTCAACCCCACCTTCCCAAAGGGGCACCAAGAACATTCAGAGTAAAGCAAATCTCAGGAGAGAAACAGAGCCCATTCCACACTCCTGCCCCTCCCGTGTCCCTTCTGCACTGGGGGACAGGTCATAAGAAAGGGCCCTCAGCTCCAGGTGAGACAGAACAGGCCCCTGCTGGTGAGGAGCCCAGAACTCGAAGCTTGTGTCCACCTGGGGCAGCAAGAGGACAGCACAGGGAACCCACATCCTGAGATCCAGTCCCAGCCCTGCCCCGGCCAGCCTGGGTGACCTGGGGCATGTGGTAACCTCTGAGCTGCAGGGACTGGATGGGGGTCAGGCATTCCTGGTGCACCAAGGTTGTGAGGTTAGAGGAGCTGAAGGACAGACCCCAGCACATGCCTCCCACACAGTAGGTGCTCATTACATGGCATCTTGGCTCATTCATGACATCACTCCTACCCAAGGTCTCCAATGGTCGCTGAACATCCTGATTGGGGTCTCGGGGGCCCTTGTCCTGCTGCTCTCCCTCCTCCTCTTCCTCTTCCTCCGACACCGGTGTCAGTGCAAAGTCAGGATGTCAGGTGAGTAGGGGACGGGGTGACCTGGGTCACAGGAGAGAGGGACTCAGAGCACCTGGAACAGGAAAATCAAATAGATGGGGAAGGCACATTGAACAATGGATTTCTCCAGAATCTCACATCAAAAATCTGGAAAGAATACACTTAATGTCGCTACATGTATCAAAGTTCAGGTAATCTTTTGTTGTCTTCAATGACCTGAAATATGAAATACACACACAAGCATGTGTCAGGGTTTCCTACTTTTCTCAGGAATCACTCAAGGAGGGGTCCCTGCCCTCCCAAGGCTGACACTGCCCGTCTTGACCGGCCCAGACAGAGGCTGATGCCCAAAAGCACCTCTCTGTCAGGGAAAGGGACAGCTACCCTGTGGGAGGGGGCACAGGGATTTCAGAAGCTGTTGGGGGAAGGCACAGCCTGGGAGAGTATGGGAGTCAGAGGTGAGGTCTGATATCCATGGCATGACCTGGCCCCTCGCCTCAGCCCTGGGTTAGTGGCCCACCTGGGAGGAGGCTGGTCTGCAGCCCTGAGAACTCAGGGCCCCTGCCAGGGGACACACCCCATTCTTTCCCAGCAGGTGCTGCCCTGAAGGACCCACAGCCTGGGGAGGGCCTGGAGCTGGACCCTCAGGTGAGACCCCTGCTTCTGTCCAGGACACCCACCAAGGACCTTCCTGTTGCCCAGTTCACTCCAGTGGTCACTTCCACTGGGCAGGAGAGTGTGTGGTCTGGGCAGGGAACAGACAAAACAGCAGGTGCAAAGGTCCAGAGGCAGGACCTGCTGCTTCAGCCAGATGGCCCTGTAGCAAGAGCTGAATGAGCAACACAGACTGCGTTCAGTTAAGAGTCAGAACCGTAGAAACTTCCAGATGCCCCAAGGCTCAGGAAGTGCCTGCAGATTCTATCCTGAGAGTGACTTAGTCTGATTTAAAGTTTAAACCATCAATCTGGCTACATGTGGAGAACTGACTGGAATCAAAGAGACACCGGTTCTGTCTCACTGTCTCTGCAGCACAACGGGCCCGATGACAGTTCCAAACAAGTGACCTACGCCCAGGTGAACTGCAGATCAAGACTCAGGCAGGGAGTGGCCACTTCTCCTTCCCCCCTGTCAGAGGAATTGCTGGACAAGAAGGGCAGAGAAGCAGAAGAGGACAGATAGATGGACAGTCAGGTGGGTCCCGTCCTTTCCAGGCCCCAGGCTTCCCCAACCCCAACCACCTTTCACCCCTCTCACTGTCCCCCTGCTCCAGGCTGCTGCAGCTGAAGACCCCAAGGATGTGACCTACACCCAGCTGACCCTCATGACCTCCAGATGGGAAACAAGTGCACCCCCTCACTCCCCATCAGACCAGCCCCCAAAGAAGCCCAGTGTCTATGCTACTCTGGCCGTCCACTAGCCCTGGAAGGACCTGGATCCCACACTCCAGGGAGGGGGCCTGAAGGGTCCCCAAAAGGTACCAGAGCTGCCCCCTAAGGACACTCAGCAGGGCTCCAGCCATCCAGGTGACCTGACACCCACCCCAGCAGCATCTAGGACCCTCCGGGAGTCCCTTGATGATGCATTCACAGATAAGTCCTACCCATACAGTTTGGAATCAAAGCAACAGACTTCTCAAGAATGTGTGTGTGTCCTGGCTGGTGCGGTTCAGTTGATTGAGGGCTGGCCTGTGAACCAAAGGATCACCAGTTCAATTTCCAGTCAGGGCACATGCCTGGGTTGTGGGCCAGGTCCCCAGTAAGGAGTGTGTGAGAAGCAACCACACACTGATGTTTCTCTCCCTCTCTTTCTCCTTCCCTCCCACTCTTTCAAAAAAATAAATAAAATATTTTTTTATTATTAAAATGGGATGCATGAATATATACTGGATAAATATCCCAAGCATGCAGGTATCTGATTTCAGGAAAGAATGGATGGTTTTAGATTCAACTCATTCTGTGAAATTCAACATTAAAAGAAATAGCAAAAACAAAAATTGCATCTACAAACGAAACCCTTTTGTTAAATCCCTGCACCAATTTATAATGAAAAACACTTCAGAAGTAAAGGGGTATTATCTATAACTTCTCACAGCATCATTCAAACGCTTTATGAACACGATAGTGTTCAAGGTAAAGACTGGAAAACTTTGGCCTGCAGTTCAGCCTGGGGCAGAACTGTCACTGTGGAGCCTCCCCCAGCACAGCCTCCACACGTCCAATGCCTGTGGGCTTCGCCAGCCAGGCCCCACAGCCCAGGTTTTGTAGGGGAGGGAGGGAACGCCCCCCATGACAGATGTGACACCTCCACCCCCACAGCCTTTTTCTTGGGGCCAACATTCCCTACCCTCCCAACCCCAAGACTACACTGTGGAGAATCTCATCTGCATGGGTGTGGCTGGATTGGTCCTGGTGGTGCTGGGGAGCTGCTGTTTCAGGCTCTGAACATTGAGAGGAGGGCCCACACTGCAGTGAGGACAGGAACACAGAGCGGGCAGAGCACCGTTCAGAGTTGGAGGGGCTGGGGAGCCCACCTGATGACCCAGGAGGTAGTGAAGGACAGTCTGACCACAGGTGGGGAAACTGTCTGCTGATTTGTCCAGGGTAGCAGATGGGACAGACGAGGTTTGGGGACAGGAAATGTGAGCCGTGTTCCTGTAGAGATGCCTCCTCCATCCCACTGTGGGACTGCCCCTCCTCATCCTCACTGACTCCCCTTGACTATCCTTCTGTTCTCACCCCTGTGACATAAGGGGCCGCCCCACATGGCTGGTTTGGGTTCATATCTACACACCCCTTCATGCTGGATCCCATTCACATAAACAAATGTGGTGTCTTCATAACCCGGAAGGGCTTTTTAAGCCATAAAGACAAAGTACCAACACCAGCAACAGAGTGAATGAACATCAACAGTCAGCAGCTAAGTGACAGAAGCCAGAGAGAAAAGATCATGTTTTCTGTGACTGCATTTGTGTGAAGTGTCCAGGAGGATGAAACCCACAGAGACAGGAGTCAGGTGGGCTGGTCGGGGGCTGAGGAGGAGGAGAGATGGGAGACTGAAGGTTTCATGGTATTTGGGGGCAGGGTTACACAAATTTGAGATTACATAAAAGTTGTAGTTGACATTGTGTATGTATTAGAATCTAGTGAATTGTATTTATTAAAGGGCTCAATTTTCTGTTACATGAATTTACATCATTAATAAGAAATACAAGTCAATGGCCATGGTTCCCTGTGGATCCTTTTTACCTCAGAAGTGGACCTACATCCCCAGGCAGTTTCATGGGAGGCAGGACTGCCACCAGGTCCGAGATGCCCTCAGTGCCCAGTGCTCAGGCTCAGCCCCTGGGGGGATTCCCACCCTCACTCCTGAGTGTGATGAGTCCAGGATCCAGGAAGAGCAGTGACCTTCCTGTCTCCACTCAGTCTGGAGTCAACTGCCACTCAACAAAATCTGCCCCGTAGCTTCTGATGCCCCCTGGGGGCTAGGGGTGGATACATAGGCTGCTTCCAAGTAGCCCTTCCTCCCAAATTCTCCTAAGCCCAGGTCTTTATCAGGCCCAGAAATGACACAGATGGAGTCTCTCCATGTCTCAGGCTCTGCTGATCCTCACAACACGTGTGAGAGCTAAGCTTCCACCCTTGTCTGCAATGAGGGCAAAGGGGGAGGGGAAGGGACTGGCTCAGAACAGTCAGTAATGTTTCTTCTTGTCTTAACTTAAAACCTGTGAATTGTCTGCAACTGGTGCTACTGCCCAGAACATGGAGACAGAGTGACCACTGTCAGATGCTTGGTTACCCCTCACAGAGCAGGGCAGTGAGGAGGCAGACATGCTCAGGGGCCTGGATAGGACAGATGGAGAGAAGGTCTCCTGCTCACAGACATGAGGAAGTCAGAGAGAGGAAGGGGAGAGGAAGAGACCAAACCACACATCCAACCAGGAGAGTGGGTGGCTCTTGCAGTGGGTCAGGAGACCATGTTGTAATCCTCTCACCATCCCTCCTGCCCCTCAGTGGGCGGTCAGTCTTGGAACAGCCTCATAGGCTCCCCAGGCCATGCAGACAGCGATCAGACAAACCCTCAGCTCTTCCCTCTCTTCCCCCCACTAATGAACACACCCACAGCTCTGACCCTGAGACCCTCTTTCTGGGACCCACTTCCCCTCCACAGTTACACTCAGGTGAAGACCAAGGACATCATGTGGGTGTGACCCCATCAGCCTCCTCTTTGACCTCCTGAGGACCCTCACTCCCAGTTGAGGGGTTTCACTCCCATGCACCTGAACTTACCTGTCAAAGACCCTCCCTGCACAAAGTCTTTCCACAGGTCCCCACCTCACTCCAGCACATCCAAGTGGGTTCACTTGCTGGTCCATGTTGTTGGAGATGAAGCTGAGCTAACCTGTCCATCCCAAGCAGAGACAATTAGTCCTACAAAGCAGACCCTTCCCAGTGCCCACCTCCCTTCCCCAAACTCACACACCTGGGTCATGGCCACACTGGGCCTGTCATGGGGGTCCCCTGAGCCAGTATACTCAGAGCAGACTCCACTGCACACCTCCTAGACTGAGATAATGACAAAGAAATCTTCCGGCCAAAGACTTCCACCAAGATGGAGGCGTAGATGGAAACATTGTGCCTTCTCACACAACCAAGTTTAAAAACAACAAAGTTTTGGACTTCCAAGATGGAGGCATAGGTGGATGTGCCGTGCCTTCTCACACAACCAAGTTTAGAGACAACTAAATATTAGCAACAGAAAACACAGCCAGAACACAGAAAATTGAACTTTTCGGAAGTCTGTTAACAACAAATTCTTCAGCCTGACTGGTAAGGGGTGAAACCAGCAGCTGGTGGAGCAGGGTTGCACAGGAAAACTCGGTCGGAATCCAGGCGCAGGGTGGGACCTAGTGAGCGACCAAGCAAGCGACCGCGGGGAAACAGCGAGAGAGCAGGGCTGCGGGTTGACTGTGGTCGAGCAGTTGTGCGCGGATAGACGAGCCAGGGAGTGGGCGATTGGACGGGGACCCAGCGGGTCCCCGCAGCAAGCGGCAGGGAGGGTGCCGCCATTTCCCTGCTCTGACCCCACCTCCACATACAGCGTCATAACCCAGCGACTCCCCGGCCCTGGTGAACCACCTAAGGCGCTGCTCCTCACCCAGCGAGGCGCAAAACAGCAGAGGGTGCCGCCATTTCCCCGCTCTGACCACACCCCCACATAAGTCTCACAACCCAGTGACCTGGGAGTCCAAGGCTCTGCTCCTCGTACTTAACGGGCGTGAACAAATGAAAAATGGCTCAAGAAGATCTCAAAGCCCCAGAGCCTATAAATCTAAGCAATGAAGAAATAGCAAAACTCTCAGACGCACAATTTAAAACACTGGTGATCAGGATCCTCACAGAACTGGTTGATCATAGCCACAAATAAGACAAATATATGAAGGGGAAACTAATTGAAATGAATGGAATTGCACAGGACACCAATAGCGATGAAAAGGAAACTGGGACTCAAATCAATGGAGTGGACCAGAAGAAAGCAAAGAATGGCCAAACAGAAAAGAGTCAAGAAGCAAGAATTCAAAGAAATGAGGAGAGTCTTAGGAACCTCCAGGACATCTTTAAACGCTCCAACATCCGAATTATGGGGGTACCAGAAGGGGGAAAGGCACAGCCACCAGTGGAAAACTTATTTGAACAAATAATAAAGGAGAATTTCCCCAATCTGGCAAAGGAAATAGACTTCCAGGAAATCCAGGAAGCTCAGAGAGTACCAAAGAAGTTGGACCCAAGAAGGAACACACCAAGGCACATCATCATTACATTAGCCAAGATTAAAATGAAGGAGAGAATCCTTGAAGCAGCAAGAGCTAAGGGGACAGTCACCTACAAAGGAGTCCCCATCAGACTGTCAGCAGATTTCTCAAAAGAGACCTTGCAGGCAAGAAGGGGCTGGAAAGAGGTATTCCAAGTCATGAAATCCAAAGACCTACAACCAAGATTGCTCTATCCAGCAAAACTTTCATTTAGAATGGAAGGACAGATAAAGTGCTTCTCAGATAAGATCAAATTCAAGGAGTTCATCATCACCAAGCCCTTATTATATGAAATGTTAGAGGGACTTATCGAAGAAAAAGAAGATAAAAATTATGAACAGTGAAAGGACAGCAAACTCACAGTTATTAACAACCACACCTAAAACAAAAGCAAACTACAAGGACAGCTAGATCAGGAGCGGAAACATAGAAGTGAAGATCTCATGGAGGGTTAGCAACAGGGGAGTGGGAGGAGGAGAAGGGGGGAGAAGGTACAGAAAATAAGTAGCATAGACGGTAGGTATAAAATAGATAGGGGGAGGTCAAGAATAGTATGGGAAATATAGAATCTAAAGAACTTGAGACACATGGTCATAAACTAAAAGTGGAAATGGTTGGGGTGGTGCAGGGTGGAGGGGAATGAAGGGGGAAATAGAAGAACTGTAATGGCATAATCAATAAAGAGAAAATTAAAAAAAATAAAACTGAAATTTGTATTTTGTCCTTGTGGAAAGTGAAGCAAATGAAGGGCAAATTAAAATGAAAAAAAATCCTATTTTACATTGAATTGTACACATTAAAATGGTTAAGAGTATATCGTGTGAATTTCCATTAAAAAAAAAAGTCAAGAAGCACTGGCCAGGGATCCCAGAGAAGGAGTCCTAACATTATTTTCTATGGAAAATGCAAATTACTATAAGAAGCCCTCTGACACCAGATTTCCTCATAGAAAAGAGAGACACCAGAAGACAGTGGGGACACTCGTCCAAGAGCAG